TCTTGTATATTCTGTGCTTGTGTTTTCTAACTTAAAGTTTTCCAGGTTTCCCTGTGCTTGTTGGTACCTGGAATTTGGGGTGAGGGATCTCATGGGCTGCCTCTGCTGTGCTGTGTTTCAACTCTCCTGCACTGGCAAGAAGAATCAGGGAGGTTGGGTTATACATTTCATGAGTTTTACAGCTTTATCACTCCTTACCCATATTCTTTCCTCTTTAGAAATGATGTATCCTTAAGCAGCAACACTACTGAAGCTATTTTTAAATCACTGTTGAGAATTGCTACACACCAATATCATGCATTTTTCATTAATCTAATCTTTTCAAGATTTCTTTAATTCTTGCTTGACCTGAAATGCTTCCTGCTACATTTTGTGTGTGGAATTGCTAGTACTGTTTTACTACCTCTGACTGGAGGCACACGATGGTAGTAGAATACAAATTACATTCATCAGGACTTAGAAAATTCAATAGTCAAAGTGGGGAAATGAGCTTAAGCACAAACTCATCAAAGATGAACTTCAGTCCATTTTTCTTTTTATAGTTTAGTGTTAGAAGAAATAGGTACTGTGTTCTGAAACAGTGATACATAGCAAATAACCTGTTACTTTCAAAACACTATGTCATTATTCTGTATTAAAAAGGGTCACTTTTAGCTCCTTCTGTCTTCATAACTTCCTAACTATAGCTAATGTCTGGTATTGATTCTGAATAATTTAAATCGCAATAAAATTGGATTTTCATGACAGTCAGTCAGAGACATTTTATATTTAATGTTCATTTAAAGAAACGTAGTGCCTTCTTACCTTCTGAATTTCAAAGCCATTAAAGTAATTGCAGGTCGTTAAGCTAAATTTCTTTGAATAATCAGGACAGTTAATCTAATTCATACATCATTCAAACCAATGGGCAGGAAAGACTGGAATGCCAAGCATGGATTTTTGAGAGATCACCTGGTGGATCTTCAGATGTGCTCACATGCATTTCCTCAGGAGTCATCATCATACTTCAAACTTTTGGAATTTGAAATTGTGTTCTGCTTTTGTCTTTTTCAAATGTATAGTCTTCAAAAGAAGGAGGCTTAAGAGGATTGTTTCCTTTTCCTTGAAATAACCAAATCACTGTGTAGTCATACAGATCTTTATTGTGTGCTTGCAATGTGTTTTACCAGAACTTGCTTTATGGACATGTAAACTATCACAAAAACATTCCCAGATGATGTCCCATATTTAGCAAGTGTTGTGATTTATTGTGAAGGAAGTTGGAATGCAAATGCATAAACAAACAGCATCTAAAAATAAAAAGTGTCTAGGTCTTCTCGGGAGAACGGAGACATTTCATCCCTTAAGGTTCCTGCTCACTTCTCGAGGTGGAAAATGAGGATAAGGCAATGGGCTGGTAGTGGAGCAGACTTAGAGCCCCTGAGTTTGCAGACAGAAGCAGTGTGTGTAGGTGTGTGTCTGTCAGGCTCTGCCCATCCTTGCAGTGCTTTCCCACACATCCCCACCCTCAACAGGGGCAAGGACAGAGCAAAAACACCGCCTGTCTAATTGCCTGCTTCATTAATGAGCATCAAACTCAGAGACACGAGACTCAGAGTCTGGAGTCTTGGGTGTGTGGGGTGTTTGAAGGAGGGCAGTGGTTGGAATCCTTGTACTGGAGAAGGAAAATGGTTTGGATCCCTGTACTGGGGAAGGGCAGTGGTTTGGGATCCCTGAACTGGGGAAGGACAGTGGTTTGGGATCCCTGTATTGGAGAAGGACAGTGGTTTGGATCCCTGTACTGGGGAAAGATCCCTGTACTGGGGAAGGACAATGGTTTGGGATGCCTGTATTGGGGAAGGACAGTGGTTTGGGATGCCTGTATTGGGGAAGGACAGTGGTTTGGGATCCCTCTGTTGGGTAAGGACAGTGGTTTCGGATCCCTCTATTGGGGAAGGACAGTGGTTTGGAATCCCTGTACTGGGGAAAGATCCCTGTACTGGGGAAGGACAGTGGTTGGAGTTCTAGTACTGGAGAAGGACAATGGTTGTGATCCCTGTATTGGGGAAGGACAGTGGTTTGGGATCCCTGTACTGGGGAAGGACAGTGATTTGGGATCCCTGTATTGGGGAAGGACAGTGGTTTGGGATGCCTGTATTGGGGAAGGACAATGGTTTGGGATGCCTGTACTGGGCTGAAGGACACTAGTTTGGGATCCCTGTATTGGGGAAGGACAGTGGTTAGGGTCCTGTACGTTGAGTTGAGCTAAATGAATGCAGTTCATGAGGCGAACAAGAACAAAACAAATGCTCCTGAGGGCAAAAAAGGGGAGCGTAGGGTTTGTCCATGCACTGGTGTCCAACAGGCCTGCTCTGGAATGAGGAGAATTTAATCTGAATGATGAATTCCTTCAGTTGGAGCCTTAGCAACGCAAACAAAGGGTGTTTTGCACATCCCTGTGCTGCTGCCATGCCATAAAGGAGCCTGGGACTGTCCTGGGTCTCAGGATCCCCGCACTTAGGGGTGGCAGCTCCTCTCCCTGCCTCTGTTTCCTCTCAATACCCTCCTTAAGGTGCTCTCTTTGTGACCAGCAGATCTCTTGCATCTGCCTACACCTTTGCAGCTGTGTTTCATAATTGGGGATTTATACTCACACACACTGCTTTAAATAAGTTTAAATTTTCATGATAATAGACCAAGATAAAATTAAGGGGTTTTTTTTGTTCTCAAAGGAAAGCCATAAAGCAGCTGTATTATTTTTATTCTTTGTAGGAATTACAATACAATTAAAAAAAAAATCAAAAAAAAATCTCCCACAGAGATTTAAAATAAAAAAGGCAACCCCCCATCTTTTCATACCCAAGACACATGACCAGGAAAGATTTTAAGCTCATTGTTGATCAGCTCATTGTCTGTCAAGATCATGGAGATTATTCTCGGTGGGAGATTTTCAGTCAAGATAACACTGGTGGTTTTGACTTTGCTTTTGGCTTGATGTTATTTATAATTAATTAGTTTACCATTCTTTTTGTAAAGGTATTGAATGAACCCTAAATTCCCTATTACTGTTCTGCAGAATCTAAATATGTTTGGAAACTGAGATACTTTCCACATGTCATTTGTGCTCTGTCAAGAACTGATTTGTAGTCTTGCAGTATAAGCAAGTTCGACATATATGTTCCAAAAAATGTAAATATTTAATTTCAGTACCAGCTATTACTATTTTGAGATTTGATAACAGAATTTTCCTGTAATACTCCCCCTGTTTCTTAAACAGACTCACTAGATGTAAATTTGATTTTGCTTACTTAGTAAATGGATATGTTAGGTAACTTCAGTGAAATCAGTGGGATTTAGCTTCCAGTGTAGGCAAGATTTTCAGCACTGATTTGAATGGAATTGGCTATTTTTGTATAATGTTATATGAGATTTGAATTAAAAATTAGTACATGTTAATGATAATAAATCCTGCTTTGAATTGCATATTCTTTTGATTAATAATCAAAATTATTATTGAATAGTGGTTTGAAGCTGCTGTTATGTCTTTAGAATGTGAGAGAATGCACTTAGAATGGAATATTGGGTTTTCTATTCTACCAATTGCTTTTTCAATAGTTTTAATTTTTGGTCTATATTCTCACTTTTACTGATATAATGTCTGAAATACACTCATATGCATGTTGCAGCACACACATTAATTATCTTTATTTGACCACTTAAAGCAGAATATTTTCTTCCTAGTCTATATCTTGACAGTCAAGTACATTTTACTGTTAAAATCTTGAAGACAAAAAACCAAACTAAAAACAATGGCACCATTCAATAAATTGGAGCTAAATGCATGTAGGCATGTGGGAAAAATGTATAAATTATTCCCTGGAGTTAGATAATGGATGTATTTATTATCATGCTATGTAAGTGCCACAGTTCACATGTTCTCTGGAATTACAGCAATGATGTGCTGTATTTAAGCACGTATATTTTAGTTATGCCTTTTGAATTCTTAGGAGTTCATTTCCCTTCCCTTGCTCAAAGCTAATGAACATTTTTTTTTTTTTCAACTGAGTTGGCTTGCTGACCTGTTAGGTTTTGGTTTAACTTCAAAATTATGTTATTTTTTAAATTCCTCTTGAATTTTCCTTGATTTCAGTGACGAATTCCCTTCAAGTTTCCTTTGACCAAAATTAATAATTACGTTTCATTATGCTCAAAGTCTGACCTTTTTAATCTGCATATTTCTTGTAGGCTGTGCTGGCTTATTTCCACCGCAATACATTAGAATGGAAAACTATTAGAAATATTGATTTATCATTTATAAAGCCCAAGTGATATATTGAAGTGAAATTTGGATGCCATCCAGCCCTCAGATAACATTGGCATTGTTGGATGAAGCTGCATGATCTCATCCTAATTAATGTGCTGGTTCCATGTGAAAAGCACAGGGAAAAGAGCCCTGGGAGCTGGTCAGAAGTAGGAGTTCAGCAATGAAAGCTGCTGAGGGTTGATTGTTACAGCGTGGCACCTTTAATATTTAATATTCCATATACAGAGAAAGCAGCACTTGGCTTTCTCTCCCTTCCTTTTTGTTTTCCCCCTGCCTCAGCATCACCTTGTTCTGGAGCTGCTTTGTGTAGGGTGTGGTACATGTGCACAGTGTGGGTGGATCCAGCTCTGGGCTGCTTATCCTGCACTGCACTTGGTGCAGCAAAAGCTTATTTTCATCGGGTGAAGTTCAAATCAAAGGAATTCAAAAGCATTTATCTCAACTTCGACATGTTTTTCTTATGCTAAACCTGTGATCCCCACCACCTCCTGCACTGCAGCACCTCCTGTAATATCTCTTCCACCGGGCAGCAGCTGGCAGAACAAGAGGACACAGTCTCAAGCTATGTTAGGGAAGGTTTAGGTTGGATATCAGGAAAAAAAAAAAAACTCTCTGAAAGAATAATAAAATACTGGAATTGTCTTCCTAGGGAGGTGGTGGAATCACCATCTCTGGATATGTTTAAAAAAAGACTGGACTTAGCACTTGGTGCTATAGTCTAGTTGTGGTGTTAGGGTATAGGTTGGACTTGATGATCTTAGAGGTCTCTTCCAGCCTCATTATTCTGTGATTCTGTGAATATAGAAACTTCAGAAAATAAAGGTGTTTTCAGTTAGCATGTGTAATGTTAATACTCAGTGTTAATGTTAATACTCAGTGCCACAGTGAAACTGAGAATTCTCAGCACATATTTATGTGTCGTTGTTCAAATGGCAGAGCCTTGGGTTGAGGTTTTATGATATGTTGACTATTTCAATAGCACAAATGCTTTACAAAGTCCTGGCTGCTTGTTTCTCCAGTCCTTCTTTGGGTTGACTCAACCAGTTCAGAGTTTCTAGCTTAGTGTTAACAACCCAGCTTCAACAGAATTGTAAGATCATTTTACTGGTGCATCTTACAAAGGTCTTTACAGGTGGGAGGAGAGGGGAGGAGGCAAGCAGAGAGCTGGGAGTCCTGTAGGGAGCCTCCCTGAGAAGGCAGAGCCTGTGGCTGTGTGTCTGGGTTTGCAGCAGTTACCTACAACACATAACTGGGGGCTTGCCAAGAGTGGGGAGAAGTGGGAAGGAGAATGTATGAACTGGAAGTGAAGGCATGTCCAGCAGAGTGGGCATAGGCAGTGTCATTCTGATTCTGTAAAGGCCTCAATCCAAAATGATTATTCTGAGCAACTGCAGGAGAGGGTGCAGACACCTAAGTTCTGGTGATGGGGATTTCACTGCCATGCAGATAAGAGATTATTGCTTTCAGGGTTCCAGCTCAAACTATGGAATGTCAGGATATTGAGGAAAGTGTAGCTACCTAAAAACAGAATATGACTGTTCTCCTTTTTCCCCCCCCCCCATTTATTTTACTGTTCTGCTTTTTCCTTCTTCCATCTCAGCAGATGGGGATTCTGGATAGAGCTGGGAAGTGTTCCCTCAATGCAATGTTATTGCTAAGTTATCCTTAGTTATCCCTAAAAGCTTAATGTTAAATAGTGTTATTCCAAGGCCAGGCAGGTGATCCTGCTCCTAAGGCAGCTGCTGTGAACAAGGGACACATGAAAGGTCCTATGAATATGGAGTTATTGAAGTCCCCATTTAACTGAAGCCCCTAAAATGTACAGTCCACCTGAACTTGCAATAAACCCTGCTAAACCTGGAAAGTTAGAATGAAAACAACAACAACCAGAAAAAGGAGGGTTTTCTTCAAAATGAGAAACACACTGGGTTTCATAAATGGATCATAAATGGAATCTATACCAACATTTAGGCATTATCTAATAATTTCAGTGTATAGCAAATAAATAACTTGCAATTATATTTACTTTTGCTTTCAAATCCTGGCGCTATGAATAAAACACAAGCATATTTTTATTGTTCAGAGAAAAGTATTCCATATATAAAGAATAATATAGAAAGTTCTCTGAATATTTGCTGAGCAAATTAAGGTTAATATTCACCCTATTGCATGGGGACCTGGTATGCAACTTGTTAATATGCAATAATATATATGATTTCTTAGCACATCTCTGAAAATCCATCCTTTGCTATCTCAGAGGTCAAGCTAGGTAATCCTGAAGCCAATTCACTTTTGTAAGAATAAATAAATTAATAATAAATGAATTTATGAGAAATGTATAGGTTGGGCTGGGCAGTCTATATTGCACTGAGGACTGGGAGAGAAAACGTTTTCTGGTGGTGCTGTAGTGCTGAAAGCTTTTCACAGAAGCACAGAGTGGGGTGGGTTGGAAGGGACATTGAGGATCATCCAATTCCACCCCTCTAGACCACACCTCCCACTAGACCAGGGTGCACCAACCTTTACCATTCTCTATGAAATACTCTCTACCTTAAGTAGGGATTCTCAGACATTGCTTGTGTTTTGATCTTCACAATGACAGGGAATAATTCCAATTGAGTAGGTTGGAAGGAGGCCTTTAGCTCAATCTTGCTCTGCCAGCATGTGAAATGGGATCTTGTCTTACAGCCTTCCTGCTAATGTGCCTCACTCTACTTTCCATTAGTTTCAGGGAAACTCTGAAGTGCAAATAAAACACTTTATTTGGAAATATTTCATGGGCAGCTCTCTGCAGTTTGAAATAAGATATTTAGAGAGAGACAAATTCTAAGAGGGCTACAGGATTACAAATCACAATGTAATTTTAAAGTTGTAATGAGAATAAGTTGCATGGGAAGGTCTCTTAACAATTATTGTCGTGAAAATGAAGTAGCACAGCGTTAATGTTTCATGTATCCTGTGAAAGATGATAATAAACTGTACTGCTTTGACCTTATTAATGTTCTGTAATTTGACTTGCTGGCAATTCACATTTTTCTTTGGTTACAGCCTTGGTAACCTCTGAAGAAGAGGTAGAGCTGACAGTCAATCTAAACATAACTGAATACTAAAAAGGTCAGAAATATCAAGAATGGTAATTCTGAAACATCCTTCTCATGACAAAGGTAGTAGCAAAAAGGCACAATGTGTATGTTCAAATTACAAAGCTTATTACAGGAATTTTACTTTTATTGAGAAGTGTAAACAAAACCACACTTTTCCCTTGTAGCTCACTGAATGCACAGATATGTGTTTTTTGTTTGTTTTTTTTTTCCTTTTTGTAGAATCATTGAATAGTTTAGGTTGGGAAAAAAACCTTTGAGATCGAGTCCAAGTACTGCTAAGGCATGTCCCCAAGTGCCACATCTGCACATTTTTTAAACCCCTCCAGGGATGGTGCCTCCATCAGTGCCCTGGGCAGCCTGCAGCCTGACCATCAAAGGGTGAAGAATGTTTTCCTAATGGCCAATTTCAGGATCTCTCATCCTGTCCCTCCTTCCCTGGGAGCAGATCCCATCTGGCTGCACTCTCCTGGCACAGAGGTGCCAACAGTGAGAAGGTGTCCCCGTCCCCACCTCCTCCAGGATAATCCCCTCAGGATCTTCCTGTGGCCAAAGGGCAGCACCCAGCAGGGACCTGGGAGCCTCATCTTGCCCTAGAAGTTGCAGTTTTTTATTTTGGAGAGCCCCCTGCTCTACAGCTCCCTGAAGGGTGGCTGTAGCAGGTGGGGCCGGGCTCTTCTCCCAGGGAACCCCTGACAGAATGAGAGGACACAGCCTTAAGCTGCACCAGGGGAAGTTTAGGTTGGACATCAGGAAAAAATCCCCACTGAAAGAGTGACTGGGCACTGGAATTGTCTGCCCAGGAGGTGGTGGGGTCACTGTCCCTGGATGTGTTTGAGAACAGCCTGGATGTGGCACTCAGTGCAGTGGTTTAGTTGATGAGGAGGTGTTGGGTCATAGGTTGGACTTGGTGATCTCAAAGGCTTTTCCAACCCAGTTCATTCTGTGATTCTGTGAACCAAACTACAGATGAAGGAGGCTGACTTCTACACTCTGCTGAAGCTTTTTCACTTCCACAGGACACATATATCTTACTACATATTTTGGCTACGTAATTGAAAACATAGCCAATACATAATTCTAAAAAATAGGGTAATCTATAGTCAGCCTGAAAGTTTCAGGTTTTTCCCCTTAAAACAAAAACTTCAGATTTTCCAGGAATGTACAGAACAAAGTTGTGGTATTGAACGTGGAGGGCAAAGGTCTGATTAACATCTTAACAACAGTCTTTGATTTCTACTTACTTGACTGAACACTGAATCAGGCAAGTACAACCCAGTACTGTGTGATACTCAGCAATGTCATTGATCAATTTATTCCTGCGCCATTGCAGAGTGAAATGAATAATCAAACCTAAAAAGTATGCTTTGTTCTTGGGGTTTTTTTTTGAGGTGGATGTTAATGGAGAGCATACAACATGTATCTTAATTTCCATGTGGAAATACACACATCAATAAAATCCACTTATTTAAAAAAGAAATAAAATCCGAATTTTTAAAGTCTGTAGCTTGTTATAGTTTTGGGATAAAGCAAAATATTTTGTTTTTTCCTGTTTATAAACTTAAATCTTTTGCAAGCCCTCTCTCATTCCAGTGTACTTCTAAATGTAAAGAATGTAGGAAGCTGCTGAGAATGGTATAATGTGGTATTTTTCGCAGTTGATTTGATACAGATTGGCACAGTGTACAAATTAATGGTGACAGTGGAGAGACTGTGTGGAATGCTTTTGGATCCAAAAGTTTTGCTTAAAATTTTAAATTATATTTAGGCTATTTCTCTGACACTTTTTCAATTGTAGGTTAAGGTTTGTTTTTTTTTTTCCTGGAAGTGAGTGTGAATGAGGCTCTTAACAATCTGAAAGTATAATTTCATATACAGTCCTTCTCATGTAAAATTGAATCCATGAAAGAAAACCAAGACAAATATCCATGGCAGCTGAGAAGTTCACCTTGTTTTGCCAAGTGAGCTGAGCAGTACCCACACAGTTCCTTCTGCACTAGCTGGATCCTTGGGAAGCCAGGCATAGCTTTGGGAAATGCCTTAAACAATTTTGAGATGTTGAAGTTTCCAGTTTCAGCAGTATTTAATAAACTTACCTATATAATATGCATGGGATAAAAAGTCTTCAGGCCAAATCATGATGTGTTGAAGTTAAGGAGATGTGTAAACAGCAGTGTGACATGAATACCTGTCTGGGTGTTTTGGGGAAGGTTTCATTTTTCTTTCCTTCTTAGTCACTCTAGCACATTTAAAGATGTTTGTTTGGTTTTTTTTTACTGAGACAATATTGAAATTCTTTCCAGTGTCATATACTTTTTGAGACTTCAGAGCAGCTATATAACATCACAGGAAATAATATCAGAACACTTCAAAATTCACAAAACAAAGACTAAAGTCTCAAAATAGTATTTTTAAATAAAGACTGACCATTTAGTAGAAGGAGTGCATTCATTCTTGGAAGAGATTAGCTAAAAATCTTGAAAAATTCAAATATTCTGAGCTAAGGAGCTGGTGTCAGACCCCTGTATTATGGACAGTGGTTTTGGTACTGATGAGCCACAGCTGCACAAACAGTTCCAGCTTTCAGATGTAGAATGCACAACTCTCCCATATTTGCCAAAATTAATTTTAACACAACTTTATGGATTCATGAAAAGCCTTTCTCAGACTCCTGATTTGCACTTAGAAGTGCTGCTTTTCATGCTTTTGCCTTCACAACTCTGCACACATCTCACCTCAGTCCCATTTTATGCCCAAATACACCTCTAGCCCACACAAACCAGCAGCTGCATAATTTTTATTGTTGCACATCATTTACAATTTAATGCTGAATCAAAAATCTGAGGCTCTAGAAAATATTCTTCATGCTGAAGAGATGAGCCCTACAGCAGATTAAGATGTGGGTGGTTCTTTAGGTGGATGGTTCTTTATCAGTGAGGGGTCTCTCACTGCTGTCAGTTTTGCCTCTAACTCCAGGTATCTCACAACCTGGAATGTGGAACCTGAGAGTGATTTGAAATATGTGGGGAAGATACCTGTTGAAATAGTAGAGGAAAGTTATATGACCTTTTATTTACCAAAATTGTCTGGAATTGACTTGCAGAGAGCTCTGTTTACTGTGCTGTTGTCATTTGCTCTGCATTCCTTAGAAATCCTTAATTTGGAATAGTATGATGAGGAATAGTATTCCACTTACCCAAATATGTATTGCAACAATTTTCTAGAATGTCTTGTTTGGCAGCTACTGTTATTTTCTACAGTGTTCAAATGACAAATTAGATTACCACATAAATTATACCATTAGTTTGTTATTAGTTTATAATTAAAAATTACTTAATCTGTACTTTACAGATTTTACAGATGGGAAAAAATAGTCTCAGTGAGAGCCTACTGTAGTCACATGGAAATGGATTTTGAATAAAGCAGAAGAACAGCGTGGTTGGAAAATTAATTAAATACAAATGTACATAGCTGTGATTGCTTGGAATTTGTAAACAGCCAAGCAGCTGACACAGCTCACAGTGCACAGGAACACATGGATGCTAATTCCAGCACTGCAGAAAGATCTGTTGCAAGGTTGCATGTTTTCACTTGTGCTTTTCATGACTACAAATCAAAAAGAAATGTTGGGTTTGTGTCAAATATTACACAATGCATAATCCATGGGGAATTCTCACCCAACTCTGAGAGTGAAGATGTGAACTGCTGCTGCATTTCAGTGTTAGTCTGGGTGAGCAGGAGCTCATCTCACATGTTTATTCATAAATCCTCTTTATGTGAGTGCAGTATGGGTCCTAAAAAGTGTCAAGAATGTGTTTAATGAAGGAGAGGACAGGAACTGAAGGGTATGTGGTAGATCTTTAAAGCCCACTGGCATTCATAAAACAGATACAGGTGGGACATAAACTGCAGAACTAGATAGGTGAGGAACTTGCTTATAAAATGAAAATGTGTTTTATACTGCTGGATCTGAAAGGTTTGAACAGCAGCTTTTAAAGGTAAAGGTACATTCCAAGAATAGTCTTTGGTTTAGTGTGCATTATAAACATATTTATGTAATCAAAGAAATATTGTCTCTATTTTTGTTTGAGATGTAGTAGCAGAAAAGTAAAATGGTAAATTCCATGATCACTGTTTCTTTCTTTTCAAACTTCACTTGGAAAATGTATTTTAATAGTGGAGAACAAATCTGGCTTCTCTGTCAGTGACTCTGCACAAAGATAGGACAGCTCCTTTACGAGTGCCTCTTCCTGAAAGAAAGACTAAGATTACATATGATACTAAGTACTGTGGAAATTTTATTTTAATAGATTGACAACAGTGATTAAAGTGAAATATATACAGGCTTGGGGTGGGAAGGGAAGGTGCTGCTTTTAGGACTACTTTGTGCCACATGATATAAGTTTTTACCTGCCGCTCCAAAAAAACCTCAAAAAATCAAATCTCTCCCTTAAACTTTAAAGTAATTCTGCTTTTAGTAATGTATGACTTAAAAATGTGTCCATTTAGTTCAAGAGTAAATAGTTTTATATGTACTTGGATTATGGTTTTGGTATATTTAGCTCCAGCCTGTAATCTAGATGTACTATTTAATATGTAAGTACTTTTGAGAAAAACTAAGTTTTTTCACTGTTGAAAGGGAGATTAAAATTAGATGTGTCATAATATTGAATTCATGCCTAAATCCTTTAAGTTATCTGTAACTATATAAACATAAATAGGTAAGTACACAGTACCTATCACTCAGTATCTACATATTTAAAACATTCAAATAAAATCCCATTAGAAATATTCTCTTGCTTATAAGCTTTAAGTTAGAACTGTCTCTGTCACTTGAGGGCATTCCCTCCCTTGCAGGGCACTACCAGTGGTTTAAGTGAATTAAAAATATCTTCCAGCTGGGGGCTCAAGGAAAAAAACCTTCAGCCTGAGAGAAGAGGCAACAGGTACCAATTAGGCTAGGACATAAATAGAAAAGAAGCCCAGATTGCTGTTCTAGAAGCCTCTGTGGGCTGTCTCGTGGTGTGAGTTGTTGTATGGGGATGGAGACCTTGAAGATCTGTTTTGCATTCCTCTCACCTAAAAGCCAGTGTAACAAAATGGAGAATTCACATCATATTCAGGAAGGAGAAATCCAGTTTCTCAGGCTGACACTTTCTTAAAGCTGTGAATCTTGATGTTTTAATCTCATGCATTTTGGTAGTGCTTGATATTCATAACTGGTAGGTTTGATAAATTTTTAACAAGAAAGTTGAAGATGATGAGAAAACACACGGGGAGTTTTGCATTTCTCACCTTGTACTCAAGCCTTCAGGTTTAATTTTCACTTTTTGCACCAAGAATGTTCCTTGGAGGAAGACTGACTAGATCTCATGTTGCCCTAAGCTGGCTTTAATCCATTAAGGTAAAATAAAAACCCAAACCTTGCAGAGTTAGCTTTCAAAAACCCCAATTTTAGTAAAGGCAATAATATCAGTGCTTGAGATCAAGAAGAGATCCATTTAAAACTAATCTAAGTATATGTTTTTACTCATAACCTATGGGATAAATCTTGTAATTTCTGCATAAGTAAAATAACAGATATATCAAGATGGGAATACAGTTCAAATATCTACCTTGCCCTAGTTGTATTATGGAAAGAAAATCTAATAAAAATAGATTAAAAGAGAAGGCCGATAAAAATTGGAACTGAGACACCAGCTAGGAAGCACAATTCAATTTATTTTAATTTTTAGTATTCTCTATCTTTTATTCATAATTCAGAAAATTATATTAATATGAGATTGGAGTTCCTGAGTTGATTTGAAGGAAACCATTACCTGCCTTTCTGTAACTATTTTCTTTCTGTTGGATGGGCCTATTTCAGTTGATGTATGTTAACTTTCACACAAGCATCACAATTATGAGTGTGCTACAAAGCCTTGTATTTACAGAAGTGCACGTGGGCTCTAACATTCTTCTCATTAAGGATAAATTAGAACTGATGACTGTAGAATGATGACACGAGTTAATTGCTCAGGAGCATTTGGATAACTCACATTGGATTTACTGCCTTAATGAGAGGGAAGGAGGAGGAAGAAGCAGAAAATTGTCACTTATAATGTTTTGGATGTAGCCTGTATGCAGAATTCTGCTGCTGTGGATAATGCCAGTGGATTCACTGCTTGGAATAATCCAGTGTTGGCACAGCTTTGCACAAACAGACCTGACTCACCTGCTGGGAGACGCTGCTGCCCCAGTGCCTCGTTTTTAGGAATATCACTGGTGTAGAGAAGTGTTTCTCACGATTCCTCCACAGTCAGGGAGGGGGTTTAATTTATATGCTGTCATTCAGAGCACCTTGATTCCCTGTGAAAGGCCTGTGCAGGAAATTCATGATGTTTGAGCATGGTAACTTGTTTAATGCCTCTGCAATTGACTGTGGCTGGTGCATGGAAACACTGCAGGTTAAAGGAGATAAGGCACACACTAATTCCAGTTACTCCTATTGGAACTGTTCTTGATGAAACTATTTATTAAAGAAAGGATTTCACAAGCATTTTAAGGTCTGATTCATGTTATTTAGGAGCTCCTGCTGTTTACCATCTGTGTATTTGCACTTAGTATTATTTAAAATATATTACTATTTCATAAGAAAAAATTACAACTGTTTTGCTTACTTTTAAAGGGGTATACACCTTTTTATTTAATTCCTTATGTATAAAATCGTGTTAATTAAAGTTCTACTACTACACATCATTGCGGGTCTTTAGGAGTCAGTTATTGGGATAGAAGGGAAAATAATCTAAGTGTCACTTCTTAATTGGGCAACTAAGTTTTTGATTAGGCTTAAAAGGCCTTGTGACAGGAGATTGTTGGCCATTTTTGTGCTGTTTTCCTGCATGCAAGGTTTGGTGCAGACAGCCTGCTGAGGTTTTGATAAGATAACAATAAAACAAGAAGCTGAAGACCAAAAAAGTCCTGTGTGTCTGCTTTTCCTGACACAGAACTGCTCCAGGAGGGTTTCCCCTATCAGGGGATCCCCCAGGGGGAGCCCCAACATGGGGCCAACAAAGCCATAGGGAAACATTACAGAAATACACATTTGTTTCCTCTAACTGAGGAAACTAACTCCTAACTCTTGCAGGAGAATCAATTGCAATAAAACCCCACATCTTTGTAAAAAGCTGTAATTATTGATATTACTGTCATTATTATCGTAATTATTAAGGATTCACCTGCTTCTGTAGTGTCTTTAAAATCTTTTGGCAGCCTTCTGTCTTCATAACATAAATTCAATAACCTCTTTTGTGTTATTATTGTTCTGTGTTTATTTTAACTGGGCTATGTCTGGCAGACTTAGTTCAAAATGTGTGAACAGTTTCAGGCGAGCAGTTTTCTTTCAGATCCTGATTTGTAGAGTAGGAATGATGTTTTCTATAATGAATATATTAATAAATTGTTTTGACACATTGGCAAAAGCTTTCATGGAAATGGAAATAGAGTTCTGAGGGAAATATTTTTGTATAAAATAACCCTAATGTTGGTGTTCAAGTTTTTATAGTTTTTTGACTCTCCCATCACATCTGGATCAAATTAAAATAATTCAGGAAGCACAGATGCCCTTCCTGGAGCTAAATTTCTGGAAATTCAAATTATAATGATATAGAATACTTTCTTGGATTTAGGTGATATAAGTGATAAAGATTTTCTTTTGATTTTTAATTGAACTATTGGAGAGAAGCAGTGGGTATTTATGTTGCAATGCTGGTGGAACAATGCATGGTGGTGAGGGATGAAACTTATAGACAGTTATTTTAAAAATACACAAAATAATGCATATACATGCTTCATGTATCATCATTCAGTCCTTGCAATATCTTTGTAACTTCTGAGAATACTGAAGTTTTTTCTAAGCATACTAAAATTAATAATTTTGAATTCTGTCAAAGATCAAATTATGTTCAATATGGCAATATGAATATTATGCTGACTGCAAGCTCCTATTGGCTTCATTGGAAGTAAATCAATAACTCTGAAAGGCAGTGCTGTGCTGCTGTCTAGCTCTGATCACTTCCTGATCAATTCAGTTGCTGATGGGAAATGTTATGTTTGGTAGGATAGATTATTGAATAAATTAGAAAATACTGCTTAGCATGAAGAAAAACCTACATAGAAAAGTGATCTGAAAATATCAAATAGACAAAAATGGAATAATTATCTGTTCTCAGCAGTTCTTTTCATTTAATATATTAAATTAGGTGTAACGTTTAAACTAGTTCCTATGGCATATCATTAGAATTTTTGGATGGGAGAAGACAATCCATAAAAATACTAGTGTTGGTATTGCTGCTGGAGATAGCTTTAAAAATAAGGATTTTTATCTATCCTGAGAAATGGGGTGGTGGGGGAAAAAAAATACCCAGTGAAATAAAGACAAGAGCAAGGGAGAATAGTAAGAATTGTATATTTTATATATATATATATGTACTAGGAATGGTATATGATTCAATAGCAGTCCTGGATTGCTTTTTTGGGCACAAATGAAGCACGGAGCCAAATTCCACTCACACATTGCCCTCTCCCCTTCCAGCAGCAGGGGCACGGGGCAGGGGAGGGGACTCTGACCAGTGAATATGCTCCAGAGGGGGAAGGATGGACTCACTGAATTTGGTTTTTACAAATCCCAGGCTGCACAACTGCTGCTGCATCTCCTGCATCGGTTCCGCTGTCTGCAGGGGCTGATCTATTGATTGTTTGTTGTAAAGACATAAGCAGAGACTTCACCACAATCAGATTTTGAACTGTAACAATTATAGTCCTGTGCCAATATTTTTCTTAACAGATTTAGGCTGTTCCGAAATTTGCCAAGCTAGAATTATTGTTGTTTTCTTATTTGAAATATTTGCAGTTTGAATTCTTAATGGTGCGGTTCAGTTTGTTCTGTGTCCTAATTATGTTGCTCCCTCACAGATCTTTAGGTTTCTTTGTGTGGAAATTTGCATTTCCATTTCATATCATTATCCTAATGGCCACGTATGAACATTGTTTCAGTTGCTAATTATTTTAAACAAGTAGTGTATAAACTTGTCATTTCGTTTTAAAAAATATACCTATTTTAAATATGGTTTAGTTTTGCTAAATTTTGCTGAGGGTTGTTTGAAATTTCTTTCTCCTATCATCATAATTTCAGTATGAAATATTTTTATTATGTTTATAAATCAAAACTAGTGGGCAAATATGTAATAAGAATTTGGTAGCTATGAAAGATAGATGTATAAAAGATAAGAAAGCAGATATCTGGCTTAATCCAATTTGAGAATAAATTGAATGTTTTTCTGGAGAAAAAGAACAAATCCAGATTCTGCTTCCATACCAATAATGCCACAGAGACCATTTGTTGAGATGCATGTGTTCCTGGACTTCACTGGTGAGTGTATTAGGCTTTTGAGTTCCTCAGATTATCTTCTGCCACGGACAGAAAGGAAAAAGGGGTGAAAAGACCCATAGGGTTGGCTGGGCTGTGTTTAACTAATATTAACTAATCACAATTCCATCAGCCATTCTTTTGACTCGTGAGGAGCTGGCACCTCTTGCTTTCTCTAAGGACTCGGGTGCCTGCCATTTTCAGGGGTTTAACAGGATGAAGATGCAGAAACATGGTGGCAAAGTCTTTCTGGCATGCAAAAAGCAATGATTTACCAGAGAGTAGAAATCTGAATTTGCAGTGATCACAAGGAACTTTTTTACATTACTTGAATTGGAAGGAAATGAATGCTAGCACCTCTCAGACAACACAACTCGCTGTAATTCTGTTTCCTTTCAGTGAACAAGTAAAGTGTAGGAATGTTCAGGTCCCCTCTCTCCTGTCTTGATTTCAATGCCTCGTTTGGGTGACCAGGGCCTGCATTCCAACAGAATCACTGCTGGAGTGACATCCCTAATTATTGTAAAACCAAAGCCAAGCAGTTCAGAATACTCTCCTACTATTTTGCAAAGTCAAAGGAAATAAAAATAATTCTCCAGATATGTTTCAGTCAGAGTTACAAATTAATTCATCTGATATATTTTTGGTAATTTTCTTGGCAACCATTTACAGGACAGATTATTGAAAGTTTCTGTGAAAATTTATGTTTGTTTTTTTTTTTTCTGCAACCATAAATACTTTGTTTTTTCCTGGATAATTTTAACTACAGTAATCAGGTTTTCTGGGTGACCTAGCATATTTATATGGATAAAATGATGAAAATAATCAATGGAGAATGGTAAGAGTAGAGTAAAAAATAAACTAGATTTACTAGCACAATATGTTATTGACCTAATGAGATTAGATTGTATTCCCAATTGCACTTCAGGGAGTATAATTCAATCTGTACTCACTTGCAGTCGTTTAAAACACTCCTCATGTTCTTAATGCTATTCAAATGGCTTCCCCATCCTTAAAAGCTGAGTCTTTTTCAAAGAGGCATCTACAGCAAGACTATCTCTGTTTCAGAATGGGATGGGGGGTGCCTGGATGAGTCCCATTCCTACAGATTATCCTACAGCCATAAAATAATTGACTCGGTGGAATCTCAGGAGATGATCAAATCTAATCTTTGGTTGACAGTGGCTCTAATGCTAGTGGTAAATCAGGTCAGTTGTGGATTTGTCTAGAAAAGTCTTGAAAACCTCTGAACATGGAATGAATATAAAATCTATGTTACATTCCCCACCTGGAGCAGAGCTTTTCCATAGTCTGCAGGCTCAGCCTACCCAACTGGTCTGATTTGTTGTATTCTCGAGGCTGGGAAGAGTTTGGCTGTGACATCCTGCAACTACTTTACAAGTAACTGCAGGCTCCTGTTAGGTTTTCTTTAGGCTTTTCTCTGCCAGACTGTGCATGGCTGTACCCTCTCCCTCTGAGCTTTAGGCCCTTTGTCACCAAGGCATCAGCAGGACCTTCTTCAGTTTTACATTGTTCTTAAACTGGAGGAGAACCAAACTGGGTATGGTTATAGTCTGAGAAAAAACTACTTAAACAGCTGATCCAACAGAGCAATTACTCATGAGAACACCTGAAAATATCTGCCTGTATACATTACCTTTTATGCCAGCTGTACTTCTTCTGGAGTTCCTGTCAAGTGTTAACACTAGACACTTGAAAGGAGTTGGGAGCTACAGGCTTTTTTCGTTAATCAGTAATATTAAATTAGTTGGTTAAATATTGCTGTGTTGGCAGATATTCAAGACAGTCTGAAAAGGATGCAAAAACTGATCTCAGCTTGAATGAAGATACTGGTCTGAGTTCCCATGAGGGGATGTTTAATGAGGAGGCAACTGTAAGAGAGCAAAGCACTTTCTGTGGAGATGTTGGCAAATATACTGGGTCAGGAAAATTTTTAGACACCTTATAAGAGATGTGGTATCTGATTTGGGAATACTTCAGGTGTCCTTTACTAAGAAACAGCTTTCTCAGACACATGGAGAGATTTTGGGGGTGTTCAGAGACAGGAGCTGGACCCAGTGATCTGTGTGGGTCCCTTCCAGCTCAGGCTTGTGCTTGATTTGCTGTTATTGGGACAGCACTTCAGAAAAGGGCCAGGGAAAAAAAGGGATTTGTCAACCAGATACCCTATGGAGATGGATTTTAAATCTTAGGATTTAAAGTGTTTGCTTGTGTTCAAAACAAAGTATTGATTACCACTGTAATCAAAGAGAGATTTTAATGGTTCTCACAAGTACTTTCCAAGCAAATAAGGCGAGGGTTAGTGAAATGACTTTCCATGCTACAATAGGAGTTATATTTATTGATGTTTCCCAGAGTCATCTAGACTTTGTGTGGGATAAAGGCTTGTCTCAATCAAATTTTATGGCCTGGCTTTATGTGACTATTTCAAAATAATACATAGTTTGAAAATAATATTGTGTATTGCTTACATAACTGCATAGATGTTAATATTTATTACACTTAAGATTTTTAGCAGTGAGTCAACAAATATCCCAGTATTGTTTGGCTTATTTTCATTTCCTTTCCTATTTACTGAATCACGGAGTTGTAATTATTTTGTACCTGTAAATTAAAATATAACAGTGTTAAGAATGCTTTTCTTTTCAGAGATCTGGTGGCCATATAACAGTGTTTGTTACCAGGGTTTACTCAGCTTGGCAATAGTGGAGTGGTATTACCAAACACGGGATCAATTGTTCTCCTTAATCAATAAATCTATCTCTGAATTGGTTTTAGGGTAAATCATCTTTATAGACTGAAGAGCAAAACTTGCCTGTAGTTTACCTGCTAATTGAAATGATTGTGCACAACAGTGTTTATGTTTTGTTGCCTCTTGCTTGTTCTGCTTTTTTCCCCTCATGAATTCTGTCCTTGTGTGAAATATCACTGTACATCATGCAGAGAGTGTAATTCAGCCCCTTCTCATGTCAGACTTGTGAGCATTAGAGCAATATTATAATTTTTCTTCTAGGGCTAAGCCACTGAATCACAGTGGTTTGTATCATTATCTCTATAACTTGGCAAATATGGCCAATCCTTTCGACTCCTGAATTATCAGATGTTTTATGAGCAGATTTTTAAATTTTTTTTGTGATGTATTCCACTGTAAGGAAATGATATTTAAGCAGAAGTCATTTGCCTGAATTCACACTATTGGTTATTGCCTGTGGTGACAGTGCAGTATTGCATTATGCTTTATGACTTTTTGTCTTCTTGAATAATGATGTTTCTGTTTAACTGAGACTGTGCTAGAGCCTCAATCAAGAATGCTGAGTACCATATGAACTAGAGGGTTAATCAGAAATTCCTCAGAGGGTAGTAAAGCATACACGTTTTACATTTATGAACACTGAACCAGATCAATTTTTTTAATAGTATGGATTTTTTTTGCTTTATTAAATGATAGAGCTGGCCATATATATTCTTGTCATTAATCAATAATTTCTACTGTTTTAATTTTATGTTATGAAAGGCAAGAAAGCTCATCTGACTTAGGGAATACTAAGTTGACTCAGGTAAAGAATTGCCAAGGGATGGCGATTTATTATGAAATCTGGGAAAGATCAGAGTGAATCTTCCCACTCAATCTTTTTTTTTTTTAATCAAGCAGAATCGGATTTGCCAAGTAATGGAAACAAAAAGCCTTCACTTAAGTCAATTATTTCAATCTCAATTAAAAATAATGTTCTTGTCAGACTGTTTTTAATCTAAGTAACTCTGCTGGTCTGAGCCTGCTGCTTTGTGTACTCAACACTTCTATTTCAAAGGTATTAATGATATAGAACTTTGAGTAGATTTAGGCAATGCATAAATCTCTGTAGGATAAGAGTCCCATGTGTTTACAGTAGTAAAGTTCTTTACTGGGCTGGTACAAATTAAACTGTAACTCTTTCATATGTTACAAAACACCACAATAAATTTTAATTTGTCGAATTTTTCCTTTGTAGATGATTGGTGTGGAATTACCCGTTATATTTATAAATGTATTTTTACTTTGGTAGCAAAGGCAAGGCATATTGTAGAGGTATATTTTAGTTTGATGGCTCAGCAATAAATGTTATGTATTTGCCATTTTCAGGACTGCTTTTTATTTATCAACCTGCAGAATAATCTTTAGGTTTGTATTTGAGGGATGTGTCATTTACAAGGTCATTTAAGTGGTGGGCATTGGTGCAGGATTACAATAATAAATAATAATGATTCCTCATAGAGTGTTCAATTGCTGAACTTTTTCATTTCAGTGTGCTTAAAGGTAAGGAATAGTAATCTCATAAATTGCATTAATCAGGAAATTCCCAGCTCTGTAAAACAGAGTAGCTTGGTTGTGAGTCCCTTGCACTCTGGAACTTCATCCAGACTGAACCAAAGCTCTCTAACTATTCCTCTGTCTGTGGAGTAGAAGCAAAGATCTGACCAAGGAGGACTGTACAAGGCAAGAATTGCAGCAGCTCAGTGGAATGAAAGGTGCATGGGAAAGGAAACACAGTAAATCCAGTTTATGTGCAGAGCAGGTGTTGGTTAAGCCTTAGGTTAGGGATTCAGTCACATTTTCCTTTCTCTGTGCTTTAATGTGAGCATAAATGTTTCCAGATCTGAGCAAATGCACCAATCACCTTCAATTTATGGAAGGGAATATGGCATGGTCTGTTATTTTGGGAAGTAATGAACCAAAGCCCCTTGGCTTTAGCTGTGGCTCAGCAAAACTCTTAAAGATGACAGTAGCTGGCTGCATCTGGATTCTTGACTGCACAGACTGGTTTGGTTTGGGTTTGTTTTTTTTTTTTTTTAATCTCAAAACCCAAGATGGGGCTCCCCCTGGAAAACTGCCCTCAGGGATAAGGGCAGATAACAGAAAAGAGTTGATGGCTTTAAAAAGACATTTTTCTTATGGCACAATAACTCTTATTCCCATGTGTGGGAAATCAGGCAGGTGAGGCAGCAGAATATGAGTGAGTTAGGACCTCCTGGAGAACTGATGTACAATAAGGAATAAATCCTGGGAAGATCATAGGGGTGTTGCTAGCATGGGATCAGGAAAGGTAAAGCACATTTGGAGTTTGAAATTAGTCAAGAAATTTGAAGAACCAAAGGAAGAGCTTCTACTGGGACGTTGGTCAGAAAAGCAAGAATTAAGAAAATATACCCACTCACCCACTCCCAAATAAATAAGACAGGAAATCAAGTGGCAACCAGCATGGAGAAGGCTGGGGAGTTTTTACTCACGACCACTTTTCCCTCATCTCTCAAGTGTCTGAGGCTCAAAGCAGGGACTGGGCAAACCAAGTCGCTCCTGTTTAGGAGGAGGTTGGGTTTGAAGCCATCTAAGGAACCCAAACCTACACAAGTCCATGGGAAATAAATAAATGTATCCCAGGGTCCTGAGGGAATTGGCAGATGCAGTTGCTAGGACACTTTCCATGAAATTTGAAAAGTGGTGGCAGTCAAAGCACTCAGTGATTGGAGAAAAAAGAATACTTTAAAAAAAGGTAATGAGATTCTGTGATTTGGAGATGCTTGACTTGGAGAATTTGAGGAAATATTTTCAATTTAAAATAATCAATGCATCCTAAAAAGAAGTTTAGATAGATGTTTTTCCTAGTCTTTCACTTCAAAATATGGGGCATGGAATGGTGTTATCCAATAACTTGAATCTACTCAGACACATAAAATTGTTTGTGTTTCACATTAAATACCTCAGCCCAGCTCTTGGTGACCAGACCTTTAAGACTTTATTGGTGTTAGAATATCTGGGGTTTGTGCAGTCTGAAAGCTTCTTAGAGCACATTATAAATCCATGAGTGTGTATGTGTGACCTGCAGTGCTACCCTGGCTTGTTTTAAAGTGTATTTATATCAGGATGCATGCAGTGCCCTTTCTAGGAGAGCTCTAATAATATGTGAAAGTGTGGTGAATAACTGAAAAGATTATATTTTCTGTGCCTTTTATTACTGTAAAACATAAAAAGGAGCTTTGTGGTCCTCCTTATAGCCAATAGTCTGGATAGATATTTACAGATATATATCTATATATATATATTAAAATACTTAACTCATCTACTTATAAATCATCATAAAGAAGTAGCAACTTTATGAAAGTAAAATCAATACAAATTGCATGTGGCTCTTGGGACAGATTTTATAAACTGGGTGTTTTTCTTGTAGTAACATAAACATCTATGAATATTAAGCCACTTTTTTTTTGCAATTCAATTTTAATGTTTCAAATATAGAACAGGGACTATTTTCCCCTTACTATGTAATTTCAATTCCCAGTTTTGCTGATGGCATTTATGATCATAAATAGAGATATTAAAAAATAGAGGCACAAAATTTGCTCAAGTGATTTGCTGAGCAGGCTGCATGTGCATAAGTAAAAGATGCTTAAGTACACTTAGAACTTTAAAAAACGGTCTCCTCGATCAGTTCTTTTCATAGTGAGGATTATGAAACTTTACTGGATTACAGCAAATATAACTGATATTGTGACCCTTGCAAAGATTTAATTTGAGTGTGTTTTTACTGCCTTTTGGGACTCCATGAAATAATCAATCCAGAAGTAGCGTAACAATAGAAAAATTTTAGGAAGTTTTATTGTAAAGCACTTAATTCCACTAAGAATTTGTCTTGTGGGGTTTCTTCATTTCGTTGCTAATTTTACAGTTTGTTGGCTGTATGTGCCTGTACATCCAGATGTGTCACTTGGGAAGGGAATGGATGTGGCCTGGTTATGGGAGTTGCTTGCAAGCAGTATTTTGGGAAATGTTTGAAAAACAATTACAGTGGAATAATAACTATTTCAATCCCAGCAGAGAAAATAAATGTCAGGTGTTGGTTGGAAGTCACGTTTCAAGAGTGCAATCTGTAGAACACTGGTGTTGCTGGAATGGAGACTGTGAGGACATTTGATAAACTTCCATGCCACTTTACGTACAGCACAACTTGATTCCTGCAAAATTTGTACTTGTGCAATTTTGCTGAAGTTTCTGAAGGTCATTAATTTGTTTGCAAAGTTTGTGCATTTTTTAAATTATCCAGTGAATGCAGCTGACATTAATCATGAGGTGAAGAGCCACTGCTCAGAGTGACAGCAGGGCTGTGCATCATAGTCAAGAACTGCACACCAGCCAAAGTGACTAGAGTGAAATAATTTCAAAAGATAAAACACAAAGGGCTCTAATCCTATTAAAACATGTCAGTAAATAATAGGTTTTTGTTACTGGTTTATTTTCCAAAATTTCTGGGGTATTTAGTTAAACATTTAGAGGGACTAATTGTAAATGATATATACCCATAGTTACTTTGGTTAATAAAAATGGAAATACCTGTGCAAAACAGAACTGCTTTCGATGCTGTAATGAAATTGCATCTTGGAAAACACCATAATAAGGCAAGAATAAAACCCTAGGTATATGTAATTTCAGATTCAATTTTCTCTGGATTGAGAAATACTGTCTGGGTGGGGGTACCACTTTTAAACTGTGCAGAACTACCTCTATCTTAGTGCATTATCCACTCAGATTAATTCCAAGTCTAAAATTGTACTAGGATTTCTGTAGTTTTCACAAACTGAAATTAGATTTTTAAGCTGATTCTGAAACTATAGTTACTTTTGAACTTTTTCCTTGTACTTCTCTATAATAATTATTCATGACCTGAGTACATCAAAACAAAATTAGGGCAGAGAGAGCTAAAGCTGTCTTTGTCTAGCCTGGAATATCCTGTATCATTCTCAGATTTTCTGTACTTCCATTCAGGACTAGAAATGATTTGTGGAGTCAGAATGCATTTTTATCTTTGAGGTTCATGTTTGAGTTTGAGGAAATTATAGGGACAAGTCTTAGGAATAACCAGAAACCAATGGCCATATTTCTGAATTTACTACTTGTATTTCTTTTTCCTGTCTATTTTCCTTAGGAACTGAGCTCATGTGAGAACACTGAGAACACAGCCTGACCCACTGCTTGTCCAATATCTTCACAGTCCAAAAATTTAATCTGGAATGTCTACCTGTGTGAAACCTTTTGTGTGGCATTATTTTCACTTTATAGGCAGGCTTTTGCTACATGAACATTACTACTGTAGCTGTGGGAACATCACTTTTTTTTTTTTTTTTTGGTGCTAAATAGACATAATGTGTCTCAATATGAGCAGAGTACATTTTGAGCACTTAGCCACCTTCTTACATGGTGTTTGGACATCAGTGAAGAACATTATTTAAAGAATCTCCATTTTCTAAGTTGTGGAAAGTTCATTGTGGAAGATGGAGAATAAAAGCAAAAGAAAAATGCATTTAGTTAAATGTAGCTGCATTAAATGATGTAGTTAAGAGACACTAGCTCAGATCTCTACAGAAGTGGGGTTTTTTGTTGTTGTTGGGGGTTTTTTTTTTGTTGTCGTTGTATTTGTTTTGTTTTTTCCTTGCAGTGTGAAAATGTAGGAAACTCGGGAAACATGGATAATTCAGGTATCAAGTAAGATAGAAACTAGTAGCAAATGAAACAAATTCCTGCTTTAAAGTCCCAAAACAGAGTCAAAATCCTTCTGGATAGATCCTAATAACTCAGGCTGAGAAAAGAGAACTGTAAAATGTTGTGGGCATGTAGAAGCACTGTTGGTGGGTTTTATTCTACACTGTGTGTGCTGAGATTCTCATTCTGGAATTCACTGCTCTGCCTCTCAGCTTTCCTTTCTGATCCTGCTCAGCTCATGTGGATTTAACAGCCATCACCATTATATGAATGATTTTGCAAACAATGTTCTTTTTTCCCCATATTGAAAACATAGAAAGTTAGAACATAGGTTTTGCATGGTAAAAGCCTGCTTTTAACATCTGCTTTTCAATATTCTCTGTTGAATTTGTACCTATATTTAGAATAATCCTTGAAACTTTTCATCCTACCTGTTTCATCTCAGAATATTGTGTTCCACTGAAACATGAGGCAGATGGATTTCAGATTTCTGTTCTTTTCTCCCATGGGTTTGTGGACATCTGAACCATGGTCTGGAGGTGAGGAGCTGAGACTGCCCCTTTTCTGTGCACAGAAGGTTCTTTGCACGAGGAATGGTGTGTGCTGTCACACACAGCACACAGAGGCAGCCCAAACTGGCCATGGTGTGAGCAGCTGTGTCAGGGATGGGAACAAAATGCTCCAGTCTTCAGAAGGTGAAAAGAAGGTATTAATAAAAATTAGCATGTCTTTTATAACCCCACTCGCTAAGCTGAGACTTGATTGGTCTTAAAGCAAAAACCGCTCACACTATTGGTGAGCTAAGAATAGCACACTCTGGAAAATCATATTTATAAACAACCTGTGTAGAAAGAGATAATAATAGTTTTAATTTTTTTCTCTGAGCTTTCTCACAGCTTCCCAGGAAAATCCTGGGAGAGCTCTGTCTGTCTGTTCAGAGGATAAATGCTTACCACACAGTTGTGGCAAAACAAGTTCTGATTTGCTTTGTGGTATGATTTTTTGAGGTCTCTCATAAGCATCAGTCTAAGTCAATGATTGGAAGTTAGGGCAAACAAATAATGTGGATATATTTTCAAATACTGAAAATATACAATCACTTTAATTTGTGAATCGAAATGATATTCTCAGAAAAAATTCAACTCTGTAAGATGTGGTAACCATCTCCATCTATCCCTTCATGTCTTTTACATCACCAAAATTTTAATATAGGCATATTTTAACCTTCTTTTATGGGCTATTACCAAATTATGCTCTTATGGGTGTTACTTCAGTATAATACTTTAGGGTTTTCCTGTTCTATATAATCTATATTTAATCTATATTATTATAATCTATAATTATAAAAAAAATCTATTTTATCTACCACTAGTTAGGTGTTCTGAAGAAAACAATCAGGAAACAGGTTTTGTGCTAATTCAGTTAGTCATTTTAGTAACAATATTATTCTGGAGTGGTGTTTTATTGGTTTTGTTGGGATTTTTACTGTGATAGAGCTTGCTCAGAGAAATAAGATGATCTCTAATTCTCTGCTTCCCTCCGTGGGTAAATATAGCCTGACTAAAAGTGTCTGGAAATGTGAGATCACCGAGGAATCAACCTCATATTTCATTTCACTGCTGTTAGTTTCAGGTATCTCCATAATACCTTTTTCCTACAGTAAATAAAACTCTTGAATAGTGATAAAGGATGAGACAGAAGAAATAAATAAGCAGCACAATGCATAAATGTCATGCAATCCCTCCCTGCAAGAGATCATCTGACCAACAGGGAAATCACCACTTACTCCTGTGAAAGCTCTGAGCTGACTAATGAGTCAGGGTGCCTGTGAGGTGATGGAAATTGCCTGAAAAAGTCACCTCCAAGGCTGCCTTTTATGTAGATTTTTCTCTAATAGTTTATTTAAAATTCACTTGTGAATTGTACTTCCACCGGGCTTCACACAGCTCTCCCTGCTACCACACACACAAATACTGCAAAAACAAATACTGCACCACACACCTTGCAAGTTATTCTGCACAGGGCCATTTCTACTTCAATAACAATTTCTTTTGGAGATTTACTATGCTACAGGAACAGCTTTATGTGAAATCTTGTGAATTTGGAATATTCATGTAAGATAAATTACTTTTAAATTGAACTTCAGGAATGCAATTGATTGTGTTTACCTCGGAAGAATAAGGAATTATCCACACAGTTATCTATGACTTAGAAATGCTGCTTCTGCACAAGTAGCAGAATAATTTGGGGATATTTCTGATAAAGGACAGTATATTTCACATTGCTTTAGATTACTTAAGAAGCAGAAAAGCAATGTTTTGGTAAAGTATATTTTCAATCCATCTTCTAAAAGTAAGGTAAAGGTTGAGTTTTCAAGTTATAAAAGCAGAAGTATCAAAAAGTTTCTACCTTAATCTCTGAGACTTTTCTTAAAATCTGTGCACATGTTTCAAAGACTTTTTTGTTGCATGTTGTTCTCTTTCCTAGACAGCATAGATTTGAATTTAGTGTATTCCTTAGAACATTGCTCCAATGTATGTTATTGACCAGAATTTTCCAGTGGTAATGAAAAACCCCAAAACCAGTCATAAGACATGAAATTGAAAAGTGTCTGTATTTTATTCTGGCATTCTACATGCTTAGCTGTAAAACCTTTTCTGCATCTGTCAGCAGGGAAATCATTCTTGCAAATTATTGAGTGGAAATAAAAAGTAAAATCCATCCAGGAGGGACAAGAACATTGGAAGGTCCCTTAATCAGCTTTCTAATTTACAGTGAAAATAGATTTTTTATTAGTCAGGAATAACTTGTAACATAACATGGTGTTACCCGCTTGAAAAAATAATTTGGTTTTGATTGCAAAGGAATCAGCTGCTTTCTGATTGCTGGGTTAACAATAAATATCTTGCTTATGAAGCAGGAATTTACTACTTCATCAAATGAGTGAAGAAAGAAACTGAAATGAACAGAATGAACAAGATTTTTTGAAAAAAGGCAACACAGTTGGATTTGATTTGAAAAGAAGAATAGCAGGCATATGCCATGTGTCATTATAGGAGAGAACTGGAGACAGTATTATTCATTATGTGGTTTCAGAGTGCCCTAAATTGGAGTATAAGATTATTGGAAGTGGTTGATTTCCCCAGATTACTGCTTAATAGTGACTAAAGGGCCCACATTACTCATATTTGCAAAGAAAATAGTGCCAAAAAGCAGCAGTGGTTGACTGGAATGAAATGTGGAGCCCTCAGGGTTTTAGCTTGAGATGCAGCTTAATTGTGTGTCTCTTGTTTAATACAAATGTCCCCGAGTCTCTGAGGCTGCTGTGCTCTCAGCACTTGCAAATTGATCCAGCACTTTCCAAAGTATTTACTGGGGATTTTTTCTTCACTGCTTTCTAAATAAATTATTATAATGACTTCACAGACCCAAGTAGGTTTCCCCGTTTCTGGCTGCTTATCTTTACCAAATTCCTTCATCTTCCTGCCAGCTTTTGTTTCTTTCCTTTATCTGCTTAAACTTCTGTAGTGCCATGGCTGGAAAAGGGTTAGGCCTGATGTCAGCAGTGCAGCTTTCCTTTTGCACTTCTAGAAAAACATGGAAAAATGAGCCAGCTGGGATTAGGGTGTGTTTGCTGTCCTACAGCTGAGGTGTTGCCTCTTGATAATGAAATATAAGTGTGGTGAATTACTTTTAACTAAAGTAATTAGTATTTTCAAGCAAATTTGCTAAAGTACTTCTAGAAAGTGTTTGTGCTGTGAAGTTTCTTATACTTTTAGGGGCATATATTGCTCTACTTGGACAATGTTTTGCTAAATTGATTGCAGGGTACACACAGAGCATTATTGAAGAAAAGCTGAATTAGAAACAACATTAAATTTTCACAATTTTTATCAACAACAAAAAAAAAAAGTTATTTTTCTTTCACAGTATTTACAGTTTCTCTGCCAGATACTAGGAAACTAAGTGAAAATACTACACTACTGTGGAATAAAATTATTTTGTTGTATGAAGGTGCTGGACTGATGTACAGAGGAATGAATTTGAGTTCAGTGCTGTGTTGAATTCCACAGGACTTCTGTGATTCTATTCCCAGGTGATGAAAGGGAAATTAAAGTACTTTCTTTTTGCCTAGTGAAAATGTCAGGTCTAAAAAGGCAAGACTTTTATATAGAAATACCTTGGGAAAGAACCTCAAAATTCATCTTGTCCATCTGCTTTAATTATCCAGACCTGGAACTAAAGGATTGAAATGGTCTATTGCAAATGGGAGATGAGCAAAGGAAGAAATGATTCCTGATTTTTACTTTTTCTTCAATACCTCATACATTTGAATAAGGTTTAAAAGAAGCTCCAGATTGTGGAAATGATGTTTCCAGCTTTTGAATTCAGAGGGTTTGCTGAAGTCTTTGAGTCAACATGTTGACTCAGAAAGTATCTAGGATTAACTGCTAAAATATATAAATATTTACAAACTAAACCCAAGATTTTAAATATATTCAAAATAAATGGAGCTGTTCACCTTTGGAGTTTCTCTCATCCCTGAGTAGTACATCTTGTAATAATGATGTCATTGCTGTGTTCTTCATTACTGAGGAGGGGTTTTAACTGTTATTTTTTTCCTTGAGCTTAAAAGATTAAGTTGCTGCCTTACAATGTTCAGCAAAATTTCCAATGAATGTTTATAACTTCTGTAGAGCAGAGCTTTTTCTAATATTTTTGAGAGACATTGCTCCCTGAACTCAGTCACTTACGCAAATGAAGTTATTTATTACATTGTAGTACTTTTAAATTTTTCCTTTTTAGAAATTACATTTGCAGTTGATATTTCTGCAGTGGAAAAAAAATGGCAACTGTGCAGGAAGGACCATAATCCTGGAGAATCCCTGAAGTGTTGTGCAATAATACAATGGCTGAATATCAGTAAAGGTGTATGAGGTGATTTGATAGGAGCATTTTTAATGTATAGGAGAAATTCAAGATTCAGAGTGAAATTGTTTGAGTTCACTTTAAGATGAAAACTCAAAATTTGGATATAAAAAAATTCTAGAAGGCGGAAAACTGTATTTAAAGCTACAAATTACATTTGAAAAGATGAAGGACTAGTTAAAGCAAACACATTCACCTCATGAAATAAGGTTTTATTGATCAGTTATTAGGTGATGAAAACTCCATTGAATGTAAAACCCCACTGAAGAGATCAGATTCCTTCCACTGCTGTGTAGCAAGAATTAATGTTTTTCAAGATTATGTTTTTAGCTCCTGTAAAGTTTAATATTGTTCTTCCACCCCTTGGGCAAAGAAAGGACATCTTTGGTTATGTTATATTTTGCCTAAATCAAAAAATGCTTTCACTGTATCAGGATTTCAGGAGAACAGGTGGGAAAACCTTGTTCTTCAGGAGCAAGGGCTGAGCTCACCCTGGTTTGGTCTCACAGACCTGGAGGAGTGGCCTGGCCTGCCCTGCAGGAGCTGTCCAGGAGGTGACAATTGCTGTTCAGGCAGTGACAATTGCTGTCCAGGAGGTGACAATTGCTGTCCTGTCCTGCCCTCAAGGTCACATCCACCTGAGCCAGACTCTGGCCCCAGAATCTCTGGGTCTGCCTCCCTCCTCCCAGTCCTTCCTTCACTCCCTCTGCGGACACTGCATGGCTCTCCATGCCCAGCAATATTTGCTGCTCTGCACATGAAGGCATTTCCCAAGTGTGCACAAAGGACATTTATCTCTTAATATGAAATGTCAGTAAGGACAAGGGGCCTTGTTGCTTTTTATTCTCTCTGAAGCATCAAAGCACAGACCCAGCCAGAAACAGGTGGATGTGAAAAGGGCTCTGGTGTCTTGTTGCTGTGTCTGCTTCACGCACCAGTGTTAGGAGCAGCTGATCAAATACAGGATTTTTTTTTTTTTTCCCTCAGATCACTTGGGACTTCTCTTTGGGTCTTGTCTGCAGCAAAGAAAACAATTTGAGTAATCATATAATCATCTCCCTGCCATTTTGGGAGTGATATTTGTTATTTGCCCTGCTCTGGTATCTGCCTTTTTACTTTCTTCCACTTCTTCTCCTGCCCTCTCAAAAGGATGTTTTAGGACTAATTTCATGTCCTGTGGTCTGGATGTCAGACCTGGTGGTTCAGACCCATCAGTCTTGGGTTTCTGTGAAAACTGTGAGGGCAGGTGCTCTAAACTGACTGTGCTGGTTGGTTACTGTCACAAAAATCACTTCTGTGCTTTCTGCCTCAAAACTCCCATCAGAAAAGCCTGGATATTATTTAGCAGCCTCAGACATTATATATATTAATTAGAAGTTTAATCATGTCAAGAAGATATACTATTTGCATTTGATCTTCCACATACTAGAGGAAGATTGGAACTCAGATGAAGTATTAATTGCTGGTCAAATATTGCATGTTTCTTATTGAGTGATTACATAGCACTAATATTTTCCTTGCACAGTTGATTGTCTCACCCTTGTAATATTCTCCTGTTAGTTCTTTTCCTGGCCAATGGATGTGGTGCTTTAGCCATTCCACTTTCTGCAAGCCTTATGCTGTCAATGTTCACAGCTATTAATGCTGCATCCCAAAATGCAGAGTGTGTGAGGGAATGCTAATTGAAATGACTGTATTTATTCAATTGAAATGACTGTATTTATTCAATTGAAATGACTGTATTTATTCAATTGAAATGACTGTATTTATTCCGCTGTCTGGAGAAGTATCAATACAGTGTAAAAGTGTGTCTCAGGGCTGGAGAAGGTGGAATTCACATGCACAATAGCAGCAATCCACTTTGTGCTGCAGATAATAGGAGACAGCACTTTGCTGAGGGCAATGACTTTCATGTCTGCTCTGTTGTGTGAAGCCAAAGCCTAAGGCACTCAGATAACATATTAATAGGGACAAAACTTCCAGTGTTCTGGGAGTAAATATTCACCTCTTCCATGTTACTCCATCCACTTTGATTGTGGCATATAAAACCAAATGGAGAAGTATCCTACACTGCAGGTGGGATATTTGAAAGTATAACTGACTGCATCAAATAGGTAAAACAGCAATGCTGTGTGCATGGAGCTGTGCAAGGGGAAGAAATTCATGTCACCTGCACCTCTGGGAGTTATTGGAAAACACCAGTTGTGTGTGTCTCTGTAAAGAATCTGTATTTCTCCTGTACTTTCCCCAAAATAACAGGTAATCTGGATTTCAGGCTCACAGTAGGAGGTTTCTGCTGAGGGTTTGCATCACCTTTACTTGCACAACATTCTCAGTGCTTGCTTCTCTTGGCTGAAAACTAAAACTTTTCCAAAAGCTAGAAACTTGCATTCTTTACCTAGTTACAGTGTGTCTGTCTCATTACTGTGTGGGTTTATCAGTGATCCTTTCAATGTGGGAAAGAGCTGGGTTTGCCATAAAAGCAGACACACCTGGGGGAGCTTTGCTTTCACATCACAGAGCTCTGCTGTTCTGTAATCAGTGCAGTTGCAAGCTAAACTTCTTATCATTTAATGTTATTAACAGCAGTTTATGCTAATAAAAACTTCTCGTGAGCTTCACTCTTCCCAAGAATACAGCATCCACTGATTTGTTCTTGTTTCCAGATTTACCAGAGCATGTGAATGTTGCTTTTTATGGCAGGGCACAGAACAGGGACCAGGGGAAAGGAGAACAGCTCAAGCTGCTCAAGGGATTTTGCTCCAGCACATAGATTTTGTGCTAAAGAATGAAATAGTGTCCTAGTGATGTTTAGTTGAGCTCTAATAATGATCTAAATGTAACCTATTGTGGCTGCTGTATTGCTTTGGGTGTTTTATCAGCTGTAGAATAGCTCAAATCTAATAGTTCAAATGTATGTGATATTGCACAAGCAGTGTTTATTTGCATGGCTTTGGGTTTGGTGCAGAGTTATGCTCACTGACAGTAACAATTTGCTAAAGTTTTTGGGAATATATTGTAGTAACATGCAGTATCCGTTTGTATGTAATGCCTTTGCACATAAAATACATGGAATTTATAGAAGAAATCTTGTAGATATGTTTTGAAAGAGGCATTGTCTAGAAAATTGCAATCCCAAATGCTTCTCTGTTCTCTGGAAAATAATTTTGTTCATTTGAAAGAGCATGTGAAGTACATGAAAGGATTTTAGATAATCCTGTAAGATGCAATGAGAAATCTGATTAAAAACCTTGGAAAATTTGGAAATAAAATATTGTTCTGTTGTCTTCATTTTAGCATGAAAAGCACAAGCCTGTAGTGTATATGTTTCTAGCTCTACTTTGCCTGACTTCTCCTCCAGTGTCAAAACCTTAAAACCCTGCAATAATTTTATTCCATTTTCTACTCACTTCACTACGAGACTAAAAGGATTTTAATTAGACCCACTCCACAAGCTGTATGAGAGCATCAACAATGCCTGCTTATGAAATGAAAAAGTAAATGAAGCAAAAAGATGCTCATGTCTCAGGCACGTTTTATTGGGGTTGACAGTGGTAACTTATTTAGCAGGAAAGAGGCAAGCTCTTCAGGCCCTGAATTACTGCAGCAGCTCTGGGCTCTGTGTCATACAGAGGTCCCATTAGAACATCAGAAATACTCTGGCTTTCCCTTGGAAGTTTCAGTAAAGCAGTATTTTGGCTAGCACACAAGTTGCATGTAAAATGTATTGTTTTCCTTCCTCTCGGTTTTTCTCATTTAGGTTGCAATAAGAGGTTTTGCCATTTAGAGCAATCTTATCAATGTGGCATTCACAAATCTGGACACCGTGGGGTAGCACTCATTTGTTCAGCTTCTTCTCAGTCTTTTCAGAGGAAACAATCAAGTTCTTTTAAAATGATTCAAAGTTTTCAACTATGAATAAAACTGGTTAAATTACATTGAAATGTCAAGATCTAGTGTGAAGCTGGCATAGGGCTGTAATGTAGCAAATAGAATAAGAACTGCCATCATTACAACTCTGAAATATTTTAGGCCTCATTTTGTAATTCACTAATTTGATATTCAAATTCTGTTTGATGTTGTTCCTGCAGCATCTCTACCTAAATTAACAGTACTGAGTAATAACCTAATAGACCCGTCTTCCACTCACACTTTGATTTGTCAGAAACTATTAAAAATTAGTCATTTATTATTTAGCAAACTATTATTGTGTGTTTCCTCTGATCTGTAAGCAAAATTTCAAGGCATTAAAAAAACTTAGAAAATGGCAGTGGAGGTTGACATGAAATCATCACTTCCCAACAATTAATAGCTGCATAAATGTATGAAGCCAAGCAGGCTTTTAAAACTTATTTTTAATTTAATTATTATCCTTGGTGAGTATGAAATAGCCTGTTTTTCTTGCTTGCTGAGCAGGCTCTGTCTCTGCTGCCTTCTTTGGGAGGAAGGACACACATTTAGTAGGTACATTTCTCTGCTGCTCTGTATTCCCACACAGAACTTGGTGTCTGTTCAGCAAAAAGTGGTCATTATGTGAAGCAGAACTTTCCAGTGTCTGCTTCTTTAATCCATTTATCCATTTTTTAAAATTAGACTTACTTTTTGTATTTCTGGTCAAACTTTAAAAATGCATGTTGCTTCTTTCTTCCTCACTCCCTCCTCTAAATCAGGCAGGTGTTGTGTCACTTGTTCCCTCCAGGGCTCAAGGGATTACATTCCCCTCTTGGTTCAACTGGATTTATCTCAGGAACCTTAGCTTGAGTCTTCTCCCAAGATTAAAGTTATTAATATTCATTTAGTTCATGTTTCCTCAGAAAGTAACAGGCTAAGATGCCCCTCAAACTTTCTGAAGTTTTTCTCCCTATCAGATATTGCAATCTAATAATAAGCTAAGAACTTGTAGTTCTTGCAAGACATTTCACACACCCCCTTCCCAAGGAAAATACTGTGTGGGCAGTGTAATATTTCATCACAGTTCCTAAGTTCTGCCTTCTAAGAGCAGCAGGGTGGAAGTGTCAAAGGACTGTATTTCAAGCATTATTTGCTTTTATTGGAGCAGGCAAGCCAATGAGTTCATTTAGCTGTTGAAAGGAGCTGTGTTTTCGTTTGTGGCACTTTGTTCCCCCATGTCTAATTGTCTCCTAGGCCCTAAACAGATCTGCCTTGCCTTCATGTGTGTAGGATGAATGATATTTTTGACCCCTGCTTTAATCCTGGAGCTCCAGATTCCTCCTGGTAACTTAAAAAAAAACTTTCACCTGAAACAAAAGGCCTCAACTTGATTCTCCAAAATAATGGATGCAGGGAACAGCCAGCTATCTCCTCTCTGTCTCTGCTTTTTGTTTTTTCTTTTAATGCCACTATTTTATTGGCAAACAAAGAATGAGTCCAGGCTTTTGGGCTGGATACAGGGAAATATCAATGACTGGTGAGTGAGCTCAGAAGTGTTACAGGAAGGCAGAGACCCTGAGGTCAGATGGTGGCAGAGGTTGATTTGATTGCTACAGTTCATATTATGAGTGTCTCTCGTCTCTGGAGGAGCATCTCCCAGGTTCTGGAATTTGTGTAGTAGCTTGTACAATTCATCCATCTCCTGGAGTGATTTAGATTAATGCGGTCTGTAAAGCCATTCCTGGAGGAATACACAGATAAACACTTGTGACTTGGAGCAGGGAAGTGACTTTTTTGCTATTTGTTTTGTGCTCAGTTATCAGTTCTACAGTGGTTTGTTAATGCCTTTAACTGCAGATAAAGATGCAGCACAGAAATAACAGAACTGTGAATTTTGTCTCTGTAATTACTGCTGTAAATTCAGTTACTGGTGGAACTGAAGGTTAGGGGTCGGTTTCCCTACTGTTCCTTCTTTTTTGATGCTTGAATACTGGAGTTCAGAAATGGCAGTGTGCCTGTCTTAAAGATGGTCTGGCCTTTATGGTGCACATTAAAAATTACAGCTCTCTCACCTGGATATCTCCCACTGTGCTCCCAGAATCCACCTTTGAACACTAGCAATAATGACCTACTTTCCCTAGGTCCTGGAAACCTCACTGACTCGATTTTGAGTTTGGGGTATTTGAGATGCCTGCAGGGGAGGGGGAAGTGTGTTAGGTGAATGAAAACTATTATGAACAATGAGAAAGGTCCTTTTTTTTTTATTTCTTCTTTTTTTTTTTTGTTTCTCATCTCACTTTGCAGTAACTCCCTGATGTCTGTATAGGAAAATACCTTCATATTTGTACACAAATGCTTACAGGGCACACACACAGATATATCTTATATTAAACCCAAATCATGGGGTGGTTTTCCAGAACTCCCCAGCCATTGTTCACAGCCAGAAACAACCTCCTTGTGTTGCCTGCTCCTACAAGCACCAGCACATGCATTTTTTTGAAGCTGAGCTGAATAAACTCTGTTTGACATCTGTTGCTAATGCTGCAATCAGATCGATTGCTACCCTTTGAGCCAGTTTTTCTGGTTGCTTGGGTTTGGGTTTGGTGGTTTTTTGTGGGTTTTTTTTTGGTTTTTTGTTTTCTTTTTTTTTTTTTTTTTTGTGGGTTTGTTTGTTTTGGTTTTGTTTAATTTTTCTTTGGGGTTTTTGTTTGGTTTATGTTTGTTGGATTTGTTTCTTTTTTTCTTTTCTTTCATCTACTTCTCAAAATAAACCTCAGAAAACCAAACCTGTTCTTGAGAAGAGTTTTATGCTCTTGGCAGTTGAAACTATATTAAATTTCCTTATTTGATTTGTTTTTATTTTTTTCAAATTAGTCAATGTAGTCAAATTAGTGTGAGTTCACATATTCTATAGCAGTGCAAAGGACTGACTAATTGTAATATGATAAAAAGGCAGAAATTTTGCTGATACATATTAAAAGTCAGTTGGAAATAGGACTGCTTTGAATGTGTGATAAATGGGTTTTAGTTTTATATATTGTTAGTAAATAAGAAATAATTTAAAAATTACACTTTTCAAAATTAAATGCTTTCTCTTTTGTGTATTTAATTAAGACTTTTCTCCCTTTGCAACCCATTTAGTGCTGAGCAGTTTCTGTGAAATTAGACCCAAGTCCTTAAGATTTATTTGCTTTTAACAGACTGGAGGCTTTAGTTAGAAAAATCTAGCCTTTTCAATCTAAACTAAAACTTCATTTTCTATTGTAAAGATTTATCAGTTGGCACAGCACATGGTGTGCAGCAGTGAAGAGAACTTGCACGCTCTGCTAGTGAACAGCCAAGGGCTGTTATTTTCTTCAGTGTATTTCTTCTTAATTTCATGGCCAAAGACCACGTGAAAAGAAAACTGCTTTTCAGGCAAGAGGAAAAAGTGTTCTTTTTCACTAGAGGAAGTGTCAAAAACAGAATTTGAAAGAGGGGAGTAAAACATGTGGGAGTGAGAGAGGAATGTCTTGAATTTGTGGTACCAGGGAATGATGGGATGCAGTGAGAGTCAGTTCCAGAAATCACTTTCTTTTAAGGCCTATGTACTTGGTGTATATAACAATAAATAAATAAATATATTATTGTAAATGAACCTTTTCAGCCTCTACTGAAACTGTTTTAGAACCCATGGCAATATTTTAGAATATATTTGTAAATCAGGAATTGTACCACTTGTGGCTGCCATAAGGACCTTGGATTGGACCCCCCAGCCCACATGGGGACTCAGGGCAAGCAGTAATTATTATCCAAATATGTTGTGAAGGAAGAGAGGAACTTTGAGAGGTATAAAGTGCCTCTAAGTTCTAGGAAAATAGATCCATAGGTGAAGAATGCAAGAATTCTGCTTGCCCCAAAACATTTCTGTCTACAATCTTCTCAGCTGCCATATCTACCCACTGTGAGTTGTTGAATCAAGGGCTTGATCTGTCTTTCTTTCTCTGGCAGTGATTTCTTGGTGTCCCTGTCTCTCTTCATTTCCAGTCTAGAAGGATTTGCTGATTGCTGGTAATTCTTTGATCACTTCTTCAAACAACTGATCATAATAATTATAATGTTCTTATTTAATGAGGCAGCACTCCTCTAAGGACTAAGCAAATATTATTTATGGCTTAAGTGATTCAGGTACAGAGAAGTTTAAATCATCATGTAGTACCCAAGGGAGGGCTGCACTATTTCTGTCTCAGATGTCTGAGAAAAAATACGAGTGCTTGCATCCTATAAGATTTGCTTAGTAGATCTGATGCTTCTCAAATTATACAACTTTTTATGCATAAATATGAGGACATGGCATAGATCTTTGCTGTGATGGAGTAAAGAGTTCCTCCAAAATTTACTGCAAAGTATTCACATATTTTTCAGTCCATAATCTGTTACACTTTTAGGCTCAGCTCTCCCTTCTTCCTCTCTTCAGAAAAAAAGCCATCCAAAGTTTTATCAAGTTTTTATATAAGGACAATAGTTTTTACAAGGCCTTGTTTATACCAGTTTCTGCATATAACCTGTTTTGGTTAGGAATAGAAGCCAAAAAGCCCAACTTTCCTAATTCCAGCTTCTTTATTAAACTGCCTCTGCCATACAAAGCCCTTAGAGTGATACGGTTGCATGAGAAGGATTCTCTTTGACAAGAAATAGCTTATTTTGCTCCAAATTGGATTAAGCCCCACAGAAGGTTTGGGCTGTTGACCTGTTATAACTTTGGGCAGGCTGCCCCTGGAGCAGCCAAGGGCAGGTTGCTCTTTCTTTGGTGATTTTCACACAAGAATGTTTGAATTAACCTATTGTACAGCTTCAGAGTGTTGTTCCTCCCAAGCCTTAGCTCCCCTGTGGCATTGCACTAGTGGAGCTAAATTCAATTTAACACTTGGAGTGGGTAGGGGCATGGAAAAGGTGCAAAGAAATGCCTTAATTGTGATTACCATTTAGAATATTGAATAACAACAAAGTTGTATTGAGGTTAGTCAAGTGACTTTATTTACTTGATTCCCTTTTTGTTCCTCCAAACCCTCTTTCTCTGAATTTCCTGGAGGGCCTGTGTGATGATGCTGGGCAGGGGATGCAGGCAGCAGCAGGACATTGGTGTCAGTATCTCCAGGGTCCCCTGTGTGCCAGCTAAGGGAAAGAAAAACATTTGCAAGCACTGCTCTGAAACAAAGCAGCTGATTGTGCTCTCAGACTGCCCAGCCAGGCCAGCCCTGCTGTCCTCCCTCCCCGAGACCATCCCCACCATGAAATTCTGTGTGCTGCTGGTGGGTCTGTGCAGTCCTGACTGGCTCTTCCATACAGGATTCATAAGGGCCAAAGTCTTTAGAAATTTCCACATCATCCTGAACTATTCTCTGCTTTTATAATCTGTGCTCCTTCCCCTCCTATCACACCATGGTGCTTTTCTTTGCACCACGCTGCTCTCCCTCAGTACTGTCCTTTTCCCTTGCATATTAACCTTGTTTTCTCTTTTCTTTATTGTGTCTGAATTCCTGGGTACAGAGAGAGGAACTTGATATCTTTCTTTCTTCTGTCTTTGCATCAGAGACTGGCAGAATATGACAGGAATTTATACCAGGGACTGATTGTGTTCATTTCAAATAGAAGTGACCTGTGGGAAAAGGATTTATAGAAAGGTAATGACATTTGCTGCTAGTTCAGAACTGAAGGGAGCTACAGGGTCACTCACTTCAGTGGAATGGGCAAAAGGTTTAAAATGGATGATGTAGTTTAAGACCATCATGTTCAGATACCTGTTTTTCCACTTAAAGCATAGAAAATTCTAGTAAAAGGACTAGGGAAAAAAACCCAAACAAAACCACCAAAGGCACAGCCAAAAGGGTACAATGTATAACAGTATCTTTAAAACTGCTAAATGAAACCAAAATGGGGATGGAAAATCTTAAAAAAACATTCTGCAATGTTTTCTAGCAACCAAGTAAATAAATCACTCACTGCTTTCATTTTTAAGAGCAACAAAAATACTGAAGATAATCAGCTGGAGAGAAAGGGAACTTTCTAGGTCTCATGTATGTTTAATTTATACAATTTTCATTTTATAAATGTAAATGTTGTATAAATGTATAATTATCATGAATGGACATTTGGAATTAAATTTATTTTTAAATTCCAAAATCAGGGGTGGTAATTTCCCCTTGAGAATTAAGATGTACTCAGAATGGATAAATCTTATTGTTAAATTGCTCTAGACTGAGAACACTAGGATTACCAAGTTATTTTTCTATCATGATTACTTGATTTAATTTGTTTTCTGAAGATTTGGGGATACCTATATTGAAATTTCTTTGAATTCTTAATTCTGAAATATTTCCTTTCAAATCAGGGAGATTTTAGAACATTGTGCTTGTATGTATCTAGTTTGTATGCTTTTATGTATTTTTTTAAAGTACAGAACACTGCTGATTTTTAGGAATTTCACCAGTAAAAATATATGTGGAGGGGGTTTGTGTTAGGATTTTTTTTGGTTTGGTTTGGGTTTTTTTAGGATACCTTTTGTTTTCAGATTCCTTCTCTTTTGAGATACATTTTAATTTTTTTTTTTTCCCACCAAGGTCAAGCTACTCTTAAGAAATTGCCAAAAATCTGGAATGTACAGATTGTGTTTTGAAAGGCAGTGTTGCAACCACTGAAACAGTGGTGAATGACCTCGTTTTTTGTAGCATTCCATAATTTACTAAATGAGTCTGTATGTGGTTATGACCTTATTAAATCAGTGCAATCATAATCTGAATAATTTACTAGTATGAGGTAATTATAAGGGTACTTTTTAAAAAAAAATAATTTAGTTTTACCTCTACTTAGAACTGCTTGGAGTCTTTAAAATAAATTTCATGGTTCAGTAATTTGAGAAATCATAAAAATTACTGCAATTAAGGAAGTGGTTAATAATGTCTATCTTGTGTAGTTGCATTATGGAAACCAAAGTAATTCCTGTTTTAATTGTAGAAGTGTTAAATTTAAGTGGTGGCAGGCAAATGGCTCATGTAGGGATTAATGATGGAATGAGACAGTGGAGCTGCCTTGCTGCTGCAACAGGAAGCTTTTCACTGTTATTGCTGCAGGGAATTGGGGCTGGGGCTGGAACAACCCTGGTGGCTGCTCTGGGGCATCTCTGGGCTCACAGGCTGCTCACTCAGATCCCAGGAGCTTTGGCACTTCACAACAGGCTCTGCCAACCTGGTGATTGTCCATTTCTCTTGGGGTTCAGAAGGTCAGGGTGACCCCGAGAGATCAACAAGAGTCTTTTCTTCCCTGGCCTGATGCAGCCAAAGAAGGAGCCTGGAATGCTTCCAATTGCATTTTCAAGTTTATTTCTTCTTATCAAAACATTCTTTCTCTGACCTGCTGAGCTCTGGCTAGCAATTCCACCATGGCCATCTGCCCTGAGCCTTGGGTGGCTCCACATTATATACTCAAAACTATGTGTACCATGTTTACAATTTCTTCACTAATTCCCATCATCTGTGTTAGATTGTGAATCTCTGCCTTAAACCAATAGAAAAGTGCCACGATCACACCAAGACATGGAGGACAAGGAGAAGGAGAAGAAGGTCAGGACACACCCAAATTCCTCCATCTTGTACTGCCTTGAACCCCACTCTAAAAATCAAAAAATTCTACTTCTCCACCCTGTTAGTTTAAATATCACACTCCTAAAACCCTTGTGACTTGTAATTCCTCATACAAAATTGGCAGCTTTTTTCCACAGGGTAAAATCGAAGCCACAGGTGTTTTTGACTTCTTTCCATGGTCCCCAAACCCCCTGCCAGGGTCTCCAAGGCAGCCAGAGGGATGTCCTGGGCTCCAAGAGTTGATGATCAGAATGAATCTCTATGTGCCACCAAAACTGCGAGAAAGACAAAAACCCTCCAACAGCATTTTTAGTGTGAGAGAATCAAGGCATTACTTTAGGGTTGTGCAGAGAAAATCATTCCATAACACACAAATTGTACTAGAACCCCCAAAAAATAAAACAAAAAATTAAATTACATTTTGTATCATTTTCCTACATTTGGAGCACCAGGGTTATGTAGTTCAGCCCCGGTGCTCCAGATGTAGGAAAATGATAAAAAATTGGTGGGGGCCCTTTGCCAGGTCAGCTGTGTAGAGCTGAGCAGAAACAAGGGAAGGTGAGCACCATATGATGTAAAAACCTCTTTATCCCTGGCTGAGTTAGGGCTGCACACATCAGGTGCAGCGAAGACACTGTTCTGGAGGGAAGCCACCTCAAGTGTAGAGTTTCCAGTAGAGTAGAAGACCTCTGAGCTACCCAGTTAATTTGCTCAGAGCAGTCCCTTGACATTTACCTTTACAAGCTCTGCTGGAACAGTTGTCGTCGTCCACAGCACAGAACAAATTAAAAAAAAAAAAAAAAGAAAAAAACAACCCAAAAACTATTTCAAAAAGGCAGATTTTCTTGTGAATGATGAGCTGTCCCAAGAGAGTAAGCTGGAGAAAGTAACCATACGGTATTATTTAACCAAGGGAAAAACAGGGAGGAAGGCAGGAAAAATATGGAGAAAAATACGAACCAAGGCAACTGCAGAAAGAGTTAAGCCTTTTTTCTATTTACATGGTTTATTTCACAAGTGTTTGACTCATTGGGCATAACCAGCACAGTTAAATTACAAAATTACTATTTGGTTCTTTTTTATTGACTACAATTCAAAGCTGCTTCAAACCTTCCAAATTTAATCCCCCCAGCTCTTTGCCAAGAACATTACCTTTTATTTTCAGCATTAAACTGTGTAAGATACCCCTAAGGCTACATGTGAGCTCACCCTCCATGATAGGAGCTAACAGAGTGTATCAATTGTTCATGATTTCCTATTCTCCTGTAAATTGGGAGAGGCGGGAGAAGCACTGGAATGCGAATTTTGTGCTGTCAGCAGTTTCTCTGCAGGCTCCAGCTCAGGCAGTGCATAGCAAGGGAATTAATTGTGGGATGTTTGCAGCTCTTCACTCGGAGTTGCCGTTTAGCAGCCTGTCAAAACCCAGCTAATCAGCCCATTTCGTGTATTTGGATATGCTTACTTTATTTAACTGTTGGGATACTCTCTCTCTTCCCTTGCTTGCTTCCAGTGGAGTCCAGAAGCTGCCAGGAGACAGCAGAGAGAAAAATGCTTTTCCACAGATACCATGAGCCCCTCAGACACTTTCTGAGGCTTTGCCTCCTGGAAAATCCGTTGGCTTAGAAGCAGCAAAGATTTTTATGACATATTTTGGGTGTTTGTCCCCCTTATGCACCACCTCCTATTCTCAGATGAGGGGTATTCTTATAAATTGAGTTGCAGGTGGGAAATATTTATTTAGGGCCCATTATACTCCACCTCCTATTCTCTGATGAGGGGTTTTTTTATAAAGTGATTGAGTTGCAGGTGGGAAATATTTATTTATAACCTTAATTGCTTAATTACAGGATTTTTTATTTGTGGGAGTTAATGCTGAAATTATAATACAAATTTTAACAGGTGCCTTCTCAGGTATATTTTGAAAGTTAAATATAAAGCCTATTTTTAATGGAATTGTATTTTAAATGCTTCTGCCAAAGTTGAGAAATTGCTGTTTAACAAGAGGTTGGGTGCAGCATGGTTTAGTTGATAAGGTGGTGTTAGGTCACAGGTTGGGCTTGATAATCTGCAAGGTCTTTTCCAACCTTGTTGATTTTGTGATTCTAGAAAAACTGTCAAATGAAAATATTTCAAATACTGCAAAATCTAGTAATTTCTCTTTTTTGTTGCTTTTTCTAAAAGAAACTGTAATTTTAAGCTGCTTTCTCCCCGCAACTTTTCTTCTATTTTATTCACTACACAATATTTTCCAAAATGGCCCACAAGACACTTATGGACTTTCTATTTCTAATGTTTTGAAAGATAATTTTCCTTTAAATTTTGATGTCAATTTGAGTTCAAGATAGAGGTCATTGTGAGAATAAAGTTATGAGGCAATGCATGTATGAATATATTCAAGCAGTTGCATATTTTAGTGTTTTCTATCCCGTAAATAATGAGTTTAGTTTCTATGGTGTGTGTGTGGATGATGTGGCACTAACAGCAGCACAGTTCTTAAAAACTTCATGCTTGCTCATCAACTTTTTCAATGATTAAATCTGATTTGTTTTCAAAGCTGTTTGTATTCACATAGAGGAAAGATAGTGTAAGAAACCAAAGTGCTGGAAAAGTAGCATTGCAGAAAATGTGTGAGCATTGATAGTAGCTAGAGTGTAGATATGCAGGAATGTGTATAGACACACATACATATATATATATATAAACACACATATACCCCTATATATGTATATATATATGTATGTATATGTAAATTTATATATATAAAAATATATATAAGTATATGGACTTATATATCACCATTGCAACTGAATGGCTCAATCCTGTGAGGGTGGGCAGCCCTGGCACAGGGTGCCCAGAGAGGCTGTGGCTGCCCCTGGGTCCCTGGCAGTGCCCAAGGCCAGGTTGGACAGGGCTTGGAACACCCTGGGATAGTGGAAGCTGTCCTTTCCCATGCCAGGAGTTGCCCACATTTATTATAAAACTGACTCTCCTATTTCATTTTGTTATCAAACTCTCCTTTCCTATTTAATTTTGGCTATATATGTTTTAGGAGAGTTCTTTAATTTGTTTTAAGTGATTGTTGTGTGGCTTTTTTTTTAGCAGTCATGTCCTTTGCTTTTCATCCTGACAGTAAGTTAACAAGTGATGCTTGCTAACTTTTCAAGAGCTAATGAGGATTTGTGAATCACCAAGGTGAAATGCACAAATAGCAAGGTATTTTCTGCCAGCAGAAGTTATTGTGTCTGCAGCTGGTGTAGTTTTTCCAGAGAGAATCATAAATAAGTAAAGCTGTGTACTACATCTCAACAATAATCATGGATTTCTTTGTAAAAATTGAGATTCAAATTAGAGGTTGATATATGATAGTGTGTTCAGTACTGCTGTTGGTTGGAGAACTGATAAAATGATCTTTGTTGTGATTATTATATATATATATTTATTTATATTTATATATATATATATATATATATATATATATATATAAGGTTTCTGTTCTTGGGATTTTATGATATTATTAAAAATAAGTAATTTTTAAAAAGCCTCACTGCAGGAAAAAGCTCCAAAAGTAAAGCAACAGGAGTGAAAAGGAAATGAGATAGTGTGATTCAGAGGCTGATCTCCAGAAATCTGAGGCTATTTTCCAGTTCTGATGTAAGTTATATCTAAGTTAGGGAATTGGTTTCTCACCCAAATCAGTGGAAGGCTCCAGTGCCCAATTTGTCTCTCACAGGGAATTGCACAGTACAGTCTTCCTGTGTAAGGGTACCACTGCTTTCTCTGAGAGGCCTACAAGAGAGATGGGGTCATTTGAATTTCAAATTTCAGGTTTCCAAAATACACCACACAGTTTGCATTGTCTTTAAAACTTTGGTAGCTTTGAATTTTAAAAGAGTAAAATTTATTGGCCAGAAGAGCTAATTTGATCCAATTGACATAATATTTTGAGAAATGCTGTTTGGTTGTTGGCTACACAGCAACATAAACAAGTAATTAAATTGTGTAGGAGGCAGACATGTTTTAACATTCTGTGAATCTCCAGATTTTCTAATCTCTATTTGTTAAGTCTTGTAAGAGTGGAACCCCAACCCAAGTGCTATACCAGGTGTCATAGGTAGTACTTGTCTCTCTTTATTTAACAGATAATCCCAAGCTATCATGTTGTCATTTTTAACCTGTCACTGCATTGTTTCATCATTTGTCTTTCCCAATGTCCCTTGAGTTGAAAGGAAAGACACAGGAAGAATTTTGAGATTTGCTCTTTGAAGAAAGAAGCACAGAGGAGGCTGTGCTGGTGCCTCACAGTGCCAAATGGAGTTGTTTCTCAGTGCACACAGAAATCACACAGCTATCAGGTAGCCTCACATACTGCCAGCATTCCACTCACTCCCAAACTTCAACCTGCTTTGTCTCTCGATTTCATTAGAAACCAGTCCTTGCCTGAAATATTTATAACTGAATAAATGACCTCTGGAGTTTGTTATTGAGCTGTTGAAGCTCTGTCACATCCTTGCTGACTGTGGCTGGTTTTGTTACTCTTTGGTGTTGAGCAAGTTGCCACTTGGGCTGAGAAATTTGTGGTGGAGCAGTGACCTGCAGCACTGGGGACCAGGTGTTCATGGAAGTCGAGTTCTGATATTGGGAGCGGACTCAGATCCTGATAAATGAAAATCCAGTTTAGTGGGAGCTCATAAGGGAAGATCTTCTGCACAAAGAGCTCTCTGGAGGTTAACAAAATAATTAAGAGTAAATATTTGCCTGTCTGTACCCTTGCCAAATAAAATATAAACTTTGTTAGGCTCTTAAAAGTAAAGGCACAGGAATTACCATTTGTACACTTTTGTTTCCAGCAGCATGGTAGATTAGTGATCATTAGGATAAATGAACAGCAACTGAAGACAGACTTCCTGATAAAGACTGATGCATTTGAAGTATTGGAGTTTCCTTGGTGTAGTTTTAAGTCTCCTCTTGCTTCAAAAGAATGATAATGGTAGTGCCTGAAAGCTGTGAAATGACCACTGTGTTTTCTTGGTTCAGAGTGGAAGATGATCTGCACAAAAAGCAGACAGATGTAGGTAGGAGAAGTCACCTCTGGCAGAGTGAGCTGGGAGGGAATAGTGTCCAAATGGTTGGGGTTTAAGATGATAATTATTAGCTCACACCACTGAGGTTCCCTTGTGCTTCACTCTGATGCTTTAAGAGTTTCAGAGTGATAAGGTCATTGGATACACCATTGCCAAACCACAGCCTTCAAACCTGGGCACGGACTGGGTTTTGAGACTTGCTGAAGTTTTGGAAGATAAATGGTAAGAAAAATAGAAAAGATGAGGGGACACCGTGTGGGTAAGTACAGAGACATAAGATTAAGGCCAGAGGGAAAAGAAGGTGTAAGAAGATATCCTGTCTTAAATGTTGGCAGGCCAGAAAATGACTTGGAGAACAATCAAAGAAACTTTTTCCTTCTTTTTTTCAAGAAACAAGAATGCCAGCCTTTAAAACGACATCAGCAGCAAAAAAAGAACTAATCTCTAAAGCAAGGACTCAGTTAGACCCTAGGCTTAGCAACAGCAAATTGTGTTAATTCATTACAGAGGTATAATTTAAAGTAAAAAACATTCCTCATGCTTGCTTTGTCACTGTCACATGTGCTGCAATAATCTAAGCTTGTATAACACAAATATTCCAGAAGGGCATCATTCTATTATTTGAAAATATCTAAATCAGATAATCCATTATTTTTTTCAAGTTTAGTTCAGTATTTAAATAGACATTTAGTAATATGAACAATTACCAGTCACAGATTCTTTCTGTGCTCTAGTTAATTGTGTAAGAGTGAGCCCATTAAAGGAAATAACCCCGAACTAGTTTATCTGGAGAAATGAGGTTGTACCAGGGACCAAATCCAACTAAGGGGA